ACAATTGGTGAAGTCTAGTATTCGACATCATAGCACCAAAGTCTCAGAGAATTACAATTTCTTTAGACCAACGTTCTGCGGAACGGGTTTAGACAATTCGCGATGCATTTTTTTTTACGCCGACTCAATACGGTAGTCGGTAAAGGCCATCAAACCCAGTGATGGCTGAGGGCGTTTGCCAAAAATCCTAGTTTCTGTAAATACGGAGAGTCACTGACGCATTCAGCTCATTAAGTTGGTTCTCTGTTGACTTGAGCAATCAACGACATTCGAAACCCTAGGGTCAACGCCGGACAACGCGTAACCCTAGGTCAACGCCAGTCAATGCGTTGCGATCAAAAAGTCAACGTACGACGTTCAAAACCCTAAGGTCAACGCCGGTCAACGCGTAACCCTAGGTCAACGCCAGTCAACGCGTTGCGATCAAACAGTCACCGTACGACATTCGAAACCCTAGGGTCAACGCCGGTCAACGCGTAACCCTAGGTCAATGCCTATCAATGCGTTGTAATGAAAGAATCAATACTCCAAAAAGTATACGAGTATAAACTACTTCTTACTACTCCGAAAAGTATACGAGTATAAACTGCTTCTTAATACTCCAATAAGGTATATGAGTATAAACTATTCCCTATTTTTGGTTGAGAAGTTCCTGGAGAATATTTTTGTAAATATTCTTAAGGATAACTCAACAACACTACGCCGGACAACGTGTCGCAAATAAAATCGATGGTCAGTTCTATGTTGAACCAACAAACACGAGCTAAAGATCAAAAAAATCAGGAATCGACTTCAAGTTCGAAATTCCGACAACGGTCAGACAATAAATGCAGCACCGAAACTCTTTCAGACATTCGACAAAGCACCGAATAGCCTGGAGGATTGAAGAAAAAAAAAACAAAAGCCATTCCAAGGTCCCGTTACACCGACTGAAGGTTGGGACAATCATATCCAAAGTATTCCAGACTCTTCTATAAAAGAACGAGGCTGAAATACTTTGGAGGGGGTATCTGTAGGCATATAAAATTGCTTATAGGTTCCTTAGCACAGCTCGGCACAAACCGACGAACCAACGAGGCGACGAGGTTGACGAATCGAGCGCAAGCAACGGAATATATCCATTCGCGTGCGGAATCAAGCCAACGGTTCGGGGAATCAACGAGTCATCCAAACAAGAGCGGACTCGAATGAATCACGACCGAATCAAGATTGGTTTCGGACTCGAACTCAGAAGTGGATTTACTACCAAATCAGGTCAACAAATTGAGTCCAGACAAATCAACCGCACAACCGAATCACGGACAAAACGGGAACAACGACAGGAACCCAAACACCCTAAGGGGCTCGGCCCTCGGCCGAAACCGAGCCACCACCACTTGTGGCCGAGCCACCTCAGCCCAGATCTGTGCCTAGGCACAGATCTGGGTGCCTATAAATAGGCCAATGGTGGTTCATTTGGAAAGGTTGGATTTTTTGGAGGCGAAGCCCTGCTGGATTGAAGACTCAGATCTAAAAAAGATTCAAACTTTAGGACTTCGAGGACTTGCACATCCAGATCTGGTGCTCGACGATCATCAACGCCAAATAAGGCAGGAGTTCGAGAGGACCGGATCTCAGATCTACGCAGGCATACTCCGGATCAAAGCTTGGCCTTTGATCCCGAGATTTGGGCGATTATTTCCTTGGTGAACCAATCCTCCCCGGATATTATTTCCTTCATGAAATAATACCCGTCGTACTGCGTAGATCCGACCGGATCTAGATCGCGCGGTGGTCCACGGATTAACCCCGGCGTTGGCAAAGAACCCACAAAAGCGAGCGACCGCAAAACAGGAGCTCGTGATTTGTTCGACACAAAAGGAGAAAGTTGTAATCTTTGTTTATTTTTCTTTGATTTTCATTATAACCGGATCTAAAAAAGACCGGATCTTTTGTAACTCAAAAAGCTGTTATTTAAGATGACAATGGAATCAATTACAAAGAAAGACACGATTTTTTCCCGCGAACATTAGGTGTGAAGAATGTGCGTGTGTTAGGATTGTACAACTCTAACACACTGAAGAATTGTTGGGCGTTTTTCTTCAGCCCAAGTTGAGTAGCCCTGATCAGTGCAAGGAGGCCGTACTCTTGCAGGTCATCATAATTCTCCTGTAAGATAAATTTAGTCATCCAAGGTCACCACTCTCCGGGACTCCAACGTGATCATCCAGGAGTTCTAAAGTCTTTGGCTGGAAATTGCCCTTTAGCCTTAGAGAAAGAACGGCCAAAAGTGTTTGCTTCTACGGCCATCTCACGAACGGGTAGTACCCTCTGAACCAATCCGGGATGTAAACCAATAATATAACAGTCGTTACTATCTACTCCAGCGTTGCCCTTAAAGAAGTAGCCACATGTAACGCCGACTTGTGTTGGGATCAACTCCCATTCCATCTTCCTAGGGACTGAAGTTGCCTTGAGGGAGATGAGAGAATAATCATGCATCATTAGAGGTGTGAAAAGACGTCATTCACCTACCATCCTGAGCCACCGATATGTCCCCAAATCCAACGTATCGTGGTTGGGTGTGGCATCACCAAATAAAAAAGCACGCTTTGGGATCCTACTCCGGTTAGTAGTCTCCAAGGAGGTGTTAATGATCAAACGCATTAAGGTGGGACTTGAGGGCTCGGAGAGTTGATGAAACACCTCCCGACTCCTATTCTAAAAATAGAAAGGTTTTCAAGTATAGGGAGGCGGGGTTGGTCTGTTCCCATTTGAGTTGTATCTGATCCAATGTCGCCATGCGGAGGAATCGGAGCAGAAGAATGCAGAACTGCAAGAAGACAAAACAATGAAGATTAGTCAGATGGGGTAAACCTTGGCCACAAGGTGAACTTCACCTAAGAATTGGCATGATCCTCGTCAGACAAACGAACCTCGTTAAAAAAGCAAGCCTCATAAAATAGACGATCTGACAAACGAGCCTCATCCAACAACAAACTTCGTCTATCTGACGAACCTCGTATTAAAAGGGGAAATTGTTCATCTCCTTCAAAAATCAGGCGTAAAATAGGCAAAGTTCAACTATTCTAAATACAAACTTTGTGTTCGATGGTACTACCTGAGATAATGGGCAAAGTAGCAGCCTCGCCGGAGGAACTTGTCGTCTTCTTGCCCTTGCCTTTGCCGGTAATAGTTTTTAGGGCCATAGATCTTGACAAAAACTTGATGTTTTTGAGGGAAGTAAAAAAATTAAAGCTTGAAGGCAGATGCTCTGTGAAAGTCGAAACGACCTAGAGCTCGAAAAATCAAAGAAGATGAATCAGCTTCGTCGAAGACAACCGCCTATTTATAGGCGGGAAAACAAAAAAAAATCAAAGGCCAAGATCCGCTCCGCGGATCTCGAGGCCCCCAGCTGGCAGCCGTTTCTTGAGCCTAAAAAAGCACTATAATGGGGCGTACAACATTTAATGCTGACAAGACCTAATTGTCAGTCCCATGTGGGTCTGACGAAGTTAACACAGAATGACGAGACTCAACAAATAGCCAAACCTCATCTCGAAGCATCAGAGATTACTTAGAAATGACAAACTTTGAACCACGAGATCCACGCTAAGAGACCAAGCTCGCCAAGAGGCCAAGCTCATCAAGCAAACCAAGCTCGTCACAGCCAAGAAGGTTCAAAGTATTTTAGACCCCATACAACCCAATTCGGGTATAAAAACTTTGAAGGGGGGGTCTGTAGGCACTCAAAAATGCCAAGAAACAAAGCAGGTTTGAACCTCACTACAAGCACGCCGAGGGTTGTCACAACGACGAACCTCAGCTCAATCAATGAGGTTCGTCTCAACCGGATAAGACTCACAATGCATTTCTCCTCAGAAGTCGAAGTTCGTCATTTGAGACGAAGTTCGCCCAGAAACGAAATTCGTCATTGAAGAAGAAGTTCGCCTAGAAACGAAGCTCGTCAGTGAAGACAAATTTTTTTTCCCGAAAGACGAAGTTCATCAAAAGAAGCTCACGAGGCTTTCCAAGCAGCTGGACTCGGCCATCAAAAGACGAAGCTTGCCATATAGTGAAGCATGGTTTGTCAGATGAACCTCGTTATGCATCGAGGCTGTGTCATCTGACGAACCTCACCACGTGGCGAGGCTCGTCTCACCAAATGAAGTTCGATTGTAACGGTCTTGAAGACCCAGTCAGCCTATGTGGGCTAAATTCCAAGGGTCGGTTACGCTCCTGACCCCACGATCAGCGCGTCGGTTATGCGCTAAAGGTTTATAAATAGCCGCAAGCAGCTATGAAAAAGCCATCACGGGCACGGACGAACGCACAGACAGAGCTAGCACTCACGTTCTAAGGACCCCTTTTGAGATCCAAATTTCGATTCTTGTGATCTAAGCCATCAACGGAGGCTCCTCCTCCTCTCAAGTTGAAACAATCTTGTTCTAATCATCAACGGGAAGCAAGTTCGACTCAAGCATCGAGTGAGGCATCCTTTCGCCACCTAGAACCCAAGTTAAACAGAGGAGAAGTCAAATCAATCTTCTCCTCTTTTGTACTTGAGAAAGAGCGATTTTAACGAGGTTTTTACCAAGTGATAAAAATCTCGTCTCACAACTAAAACAGTTAGAGAACCAGTCATTTCATCCTTTTCGGGACCCTACAAGTACATGAACTAATTTAATATCAGTTACTTGTACATTGCTCACTATCTCTCTTGCTTTAGGGGTTGTTTGGTTGGTTGAGAAACTAAGAAAAGGAAACCAAAACACCTGACACACCCATATGAAGACTTTTGATTTCATTTTCTTGTGTTTGGTTGAGAGGGGAAAAAAAGAGATGTTGTGCATATGAGATCCACCCTCTAGTAAGATAATAGTGCATGAGCCCCAAATATAAAGAAATACATTTCCTCCCAAAAAGTCATGAAATAAGTTTGAAAATATAAAAATGGGTGTCACCACACTTAAATAATCTCCCAAACTTAGATCTCTAGAAAATAAATCAAACAGCCCCTTTACCTCTGTTTCTGTAATTGGGTCAGAGCCATGTGCCCAACCACTTTCATTTTCTAAACTAACAAATCATATTCAACTACTCCATTGAAACAATTGAATTCATCGTCACTCCACTTCCTCTTCTCCATTGATCCTCTCATTGAGGATCACCGGCGACCCCAATGGAGACATCTCCCGCCATTTTCCTCCCCTAACACCCCCTTCCATCCAACAAAATGAGCGGTCGAGATCTTCCATCTCCGCCTCTCTACCTCATCCTCCTCCTCTTCTCTCTGATCCCCTTCGCCTTCTCCCCGCTCCAACCCCAAACCCTAACCCTAGCTCCAGCCCGAAACTATATCGTTAGATTCTTGGATTACAAGATCGCCGGAGATCACCGCTCTTATCTCGAACAGAACCTCCGATCGGTCGAGAACTGGCGGTGGATCGAGCGGAGGAACGCGGCAGCGGCTTTTCCGACGGATTTTGGGGTTCTGGAGATTGGGGGTTTGGATAGTGAGGATTTGGTCGGGGAGATTGAGAGGTTGGAGAGAGTGAAGGATGTGTATGTGGATTCGAGCTATTCGAGGAGCTTGTTTGTGGATGATTTTGACGAGAAGAAGCGACCGGGTAAGATCTTTAGCTCGATGTCGTTTGGGGAAGGAGAGGAGGGGAGGTATAGTCCGTTGGCTAATGCTTCAATCAGCTGGAGAAGGAATATTTTGATGCAGGTACAATCTTCATCTTGTTTTTGTTTGCAATTTTGCTAAACTTTAAGTTAATGGTTTAGAAAAATGTGGACTATTCGGGGCATTGGTTGGAACTTACCCCCTTGAAAATTTGGCATAAGAACAATTTAGCAAGAATCTTTTGACAGCGTTTGGTCATTGCAGTGGAGGGCATAAAACTCACCAATTAGGAGAACTTATAAGATTATAATTAATTGAAGAAGAAGGACTAAAGTCAGGTCTAAGAGAACTTGACTGGAAACTAACCATAGAGATGAATGTGATAATGACTAACTTCGTGGAGGAGAAAAGCCTCGGCGGAGAGTAAAATTCATGTAGCCGGCGCCAAAAATTTGGGATTAAAGTTTTCTTAATGTTGTTTCAGCACAACAATGAGATATTGAGTCAGTTGCAGAGCTGCCAAAGTAATCATAGTCGTCTTTAAGTAGCACTAATTTGATATTGATGCTTGGGGATAAGAAGAGCAGATTGTGCTGGTATAACTGCATCTTTGTTTCTGAAATAGATAAGAAAGGTAGATTTTGAATCAACTCATAAGACAAGTAACTGCTTGGACTGGTCTAACACATGGGTTTAGGTAAGGAACCTTAACCTTAGAGGGAAATGTGTTTAGCGAACAAAAGAAGGAAACTGTTGAAGGGTCCATGGGTTTGTGGGATGCGTACAGATTATGATTTATGTAGAGATGTGTTCTTCATATTATTTGAGTGAAAAGAAAGTGAACCTCTAGAATCATCATTAATATATCCATTGCACAAGATCTTTTGTAGACTTGTATTCGTAATGTGATAGTGATACATCTTTCTTTAATAATATGCTTGTATGTGACAAGTAAATTTGAGAAAATATCTTGTTTGAAGTTATGAAAACTATGTAACAATCATTTTCTTGATGCAGAGATCTCAGGTTACATCACTATTTGGAGCTGATAGACTCTGGAACAAAGGATATACTGGTGGAAAAGTTAAAATGGCAATCTTTGATACAGGGATTCGAGCTAATCACCCCCATTTTCGAAATATCAAGGTAATCTTTTATTATTAATAACCCAGGCACTGCCCGAATAAAAATTTGTTTATCTTCCATATCCGGGCAAGACAAGTGTGTGCAATCTTTAGAATATTCATAAGATACAGTATGTTAGTCCCCATTTGACAAAATCTAATTATTTTTATAGATCATGTTACTAAAGTTTGGTTTATTTCGCATACGTAAAACAACCCGGATTATATTTATAATTTTATATAGCTAAAATTATTCTATTTTCAGCGATCCATATTTATAGATATAGATAGATATAGAGAGAGAGACATATACATATATGTACATGCACGCTTATACCTATACAGATGTATGTGTATGTAGAAACACATGCATAATTGCATATTCATATATAAGTATGTATAGCCGTGCCCTCAAACCCTCATGCCTGTTCTTTGGACAATTGCCTTCTGACACCCGTTATCTGTTACGAAACTGGACACTTATTCCCCATGTCTACTTATTGTAGGTCTGCTTCTCCCCCTTCTTATTGTGGGTCGACTGCAGGAGGCAAAAATTTCTTTGCCAGAGGAGATGTGGAAATTTTACCATTTTGTTTTGGCTAGCTTAAAGGTCTTATGGTCTTAATTACTCTGATAATTGTTCTTCTGCCATTGCTGAAGGCAGACGCTGAAAAAAAAACTTTCGAATTTTAATGTGCTATGCTTTTGAGACTCACAGTTAGTGATGCATAAGTTACCTATATAATTTCTTTATATTCCTTTTTTATACTCTTATTAGTGAAGTTATCCTATAATTATTGTAATGGCTGTGTTAGTATGACTCCATGAGAATATAATTCATTATATATGCAGGAGCGCACCAATTGGACAAATGAAGATACACTAAATGATAATTTAGGGCATGGGACCTTTGTAGCTGGAGTTATCGCTGGTGAAGATGAAGAGTGCCTGGGTTTTGCTCCAGACACTGAGATATATGCCTTTCGAGTATTTACTGATGCACAGGTAATGCATACTTTGCTTTACAAATTTATGAATGCAAGAGTGCGAATTAGATGAATGTTGCATTAATCAGGAAAAAATTTTGAATGTTGTATTTTTCTTTGTTGGCTGGAATTATTTCATCAGTTTCTCTTCCCTGCCGTTAAAGTTTATTCAGATATTTGATAGATTGTTTACTTCAGATTCTGTTTCATGTCTTTCTTTGTTAAGCGTTTTAACACTTTGGATCTTTTTTTTAGTTGCCTAATAATTAGGGTAGCGTAATCATTTCTTATTCATTTGCTGCTATTATAGATGTTAGCAAAATTGTGAGAGTTTTTTATTCAGTCTCCTTGCAGGTATCTTACACGTCTTGGTTTCTTGATGCATTTAATTATGCTATTGCAACTAATATGGACGTGCTGAATTTGAGCATTGGCGGACCTGATTATCTGGATCTTCCTTTTGTTGAGAAGGTACTGAAATTTTCCATAAATTCTTCAATAGTACTACACTTCCATTTCTTATCGGCTTCAATCTGGCTATATGCTTATCGTCTTGTTTTAGCTGGCCTTGTCTAATGTGATGAGGAGATTGTGTTCCCAGTTAATGAATTATCTGACTACATTTTTTGTGGTTTATCTCAAAGTCATCTTTACTAGTTTGTCTGGGCCTCCAGTCACGTGCTTTTAAGCACTGACTCCGACATGATATGACATGATACATACATTATACACTAATGCATGACAAGAAGCAGTACACTGAAACAACAATACAATAACAAGTGTCATGCCTCAGTGTCTGATATGTGTGTGTTGTGTCCCATGTGATATGATTTCAAAATAAAGTGCTTGTGCTCCATTGGCAAGGAGAAGTAAACAATAATATAGCTTAACATTGATATGTTTAATGTTAAATCGTTTCTATCAGCTTCATCAGTGAGATGCTCTGTTTGCCTTAGTTGTGATTTCCTCCATCCTTAAACTTTACCTCCCTTTATTATACTTTATACTGAAGTTATTGGTTGGAGATGAATAGTGCTTAGCTACAGTTATTTAATAACTTAATAAATAAAATGATGTAATAACACAAAACAAAGAGGGCAAGTAGCCCAATGACATGTTTCACCTTTTGTACTTGGGAAGTCACAGGTCCGATTTCTCCTAGCTTCCTTTCCATCAAAACAAACTTTTACCTAATACCAAAAGTTAACTTTTTATATTTTTATTTTCTTCGCTATAAACCCAAAGATTTACCCTGTTTAGTTTTAAACCTATCCACTTCCAACAAAAAAAAAAAATTGTACCTAAAATCCCAAAGTTTTACGTATTTAATTTTCAACCTAACCACTTCTAAGTCACTCTTTGACCCAAAATATTCACCGTAGTCTTTTATCCCATTGATTTTTAAATTTAACCACTTTCTAAAAGTTTTTTTTTTTACTTAAGGAACCCAAAGTTTTACCCCATTTATTTTTTACCTCACACGCTCACATGATTACTTTAGACCCAAATTTTTTTACTAAATTACTTTTAAAATCACTTTGTATTTCAATAGTTTTCTATGTGGCGTGAGTTGTTATTTTTTCTGTAACTTCCTGTTTTCTATAAGTGGTTAGATATACAGTGTGGCCAAATATTTAAGTCATTAACGTCTTTGTTCTTTTATGCTTTTGTTGCGTCATCAGAAATTGTATATGTTTTTTCCATACAGATATACACGTTTTATGCCACTTATTTTTAAATCCACCCTTTCAAAAAAAAGAGTTCATTTTTACCTCTTAAAACAAGATTTTATCACTATTTATTTTTAAATCCACTTCCAAAATCAATGTTAGAGCTATCGTGCTCGAGAGGTTAAGTTTAAACTTTGTATGTCAACATTTGTTATACAATGTAAATTGTTGTATTTTGCTTTAATTTGTCATATTCTATGCTAAATAGTTAGGAACACAATGTATTCTATGCTAAATCTCACTAATTGTATATGTTTTTTTGCCTGCAAATCCAAAGTTTTACTCCCAACCCCGTAGGAAAAAAATTTATTTGTAAACTCACTCACTTCCAAATCGCTCATTGACCCAAAAAAACTCCATCGAATTAATATAAACTCCCTTTGTATTTCAACAATTTGTTATACGTGTAAGTTGCTATTTTTTATTCTAAGTGGTTAGATATGCACGGCATTTGAAATCAAATGCTTAAAAATTATTTTTTGAGCTTTTCTAATACTAATGTTGTGCCATCACGAATGGTAGATTGATCTTTGCCAATAAATCTAAAGTTTTACCTCAATTTATTTTTAGACCCATCCGCCTCCACAAATGGATTTTTGCCAATAAAACCAAAGTCTTACCCTCATTTATTTGTGAACTAACACACTTTCGAAATCACTCTTAGAACCAAAATGCTTAATTCACATAATTAATTTCAAACTTTTTGTAGTTCAACAGTTCCATACAACATGTAAGTTGCTATATTTTGTTGTAACTTTCTATATTTTTGTTTTAAGTAGTATACGGTATATTTTAAAACATATGCTTAAATCATTTTCTTTTATTTTTTTCCACTAATGCCGCTGTGTCGCACAGGTCAATTTTGCTCGTTCTCATCTAACTCATTTAAATATTTATGTCTTTCTGGATTTTATGGCTAGAACTAAACTAAAAGAATGACGTTGTAATGAGGCATGAATATCTTCATATAAGTATTGGCTCATAAATGTAAGTATCATGCTATCATACTGATGTATTCAAATGTCTACCTATGACTACAAATTTCAAATAAACCACAAATTCCCATCGGGGGATACCCATACTCTCCATATGCCTTTCTGGCTATGACTCGCTGCTATAATGCTACATTTGAGCAGTTCATCTTTCATGTGCATCCACTGCACACTGAATTTCTCCCTTTTCAATTTTCACATTTTTACTTCATCCATACACTATTAGCATGGTTGTGCATATTCCAAATTTAAGATGTTCTTCAATTCTTTTAGGGAAACTTTTAATCTAATGTTTGGGTTGTTTTGTTATTTAATGGTCTATCCAGGTTTGGGAGGTCACTGCAAATAATATCATTATGGTATCAGCTATTGGAAACGATGGACCTCTCTATGGGACACTCAACAATCCTGCTGACCAGAGTGATGTTATTGGTGTTGGTGGTATTGACTATAATGATCACATTGCCTCATTCTCATCACGTGGGATGAGTACTTGGGAACTCCCACACGGGTATGTCAGTGTCTCGTTTACACTTCTTGAGTAAATCTAGTTTGTCTTATTTTCTAGATCTTCTATTTCGATTCAGTGGTAGGACAATGTGTTCAATATCTACATGCTTTGATGAGCACTGCTTTTTTATTTTTGTCCTAGTTATCAAGTCATTGAGATGTAATGTAGCTTGAATTTAATTTTTCAAAGATAAATCTAGAAAATCCATAAGGATTATTTTAGGATTAAAGAATTGTTGAGATAAATTTGAAAAATATATGTTAATAAGTGTCATCAAAATGAGGTTTCCCCCTTAGTTTCTTATAACAGGTGAGAAAGACGAAAAAGAGAAAAAGTTGGGACGAGATCAATGAGAATTGTAAAATTAAGTCCGTCTAAGTATTACGTCAAAACCCCGAAGTTATAATGAGGGTTGCGGATTATATTTTTATATTGTAACATACCCCCATAGGTTGGATGTCCTTTTAGTTATGGGTTGAAAGCTGGACTCACGCAGGGGTAACAAATTTTTTTAAATTTGTAATAAATTCGTGGCTAGCAAGATTCGAACTGGGGTTGAGTCTAATACCATGTGAAATTAAGTATCTCTAATTATTACACCAAAACTTCGAAGTTATGGTGAGGATTGAGGATTATATTTTTATATCCTAATAATAATAACCATAGACTATAACATAAAGGTTTTAGTTTAATTTATCAGTTCATGTTGGTCAACGTTGAAGAACTTATTTCTTTATCCTTAATTTCTCACAATAGTTGAGAAAGAGGAAAAAGGGAAAGTTGGGACAAGATCAATGATAATAACCATAGAATAGGACATAAATTTTTTAGCTTAATCTATTAGTTCATGTTGGTCAATGTTGGAGAATTTATTTCAAATAATAATGTAGAAGTATGGATATGCTAATAGTTAATACTTCTCATTGTTTTGTTTAACTTTTTATCCAAGACCTTCTAGAATAAGCTATTTGAAGAGGATTTAGGTGTCATTTTAGCTATTTTAGGGTTAATTTCCCAAAACCCCACTAAACTTTGGTGGGTGTTGCATGTAACCCCTCTGAACATTGTTTACCTTAATCCCAAGGTCCCCCAACCGCCCCCCCCCCCCCAACCAAAAAAAAGGACCCTACATGAAATTTGCAACTAACAAACTGTTTCTTGAGAGGAAAATATGTCAAAAATTAGGGGAGAGTGTATGTTGACAGTGACAAAGTTTGGGATTTTTTTTACACTCAAAAACATTTTGAGCTATTTATAAATTACAGGAAGGGGGTCGGGTGAGATAAGGTAAAGATCAAGGGGTTTTGTGAGACAGCCCATAGTTCATGGGCGTTATGTGAGATAAACAAAGTTTGGAGTTGGGGGGGGGGGGGGGCGTTATGGCAACATCTGGGCCAACATTCAAGGCGCTTAACCCTTTATTTTATTGATAGACTGGTGAAGTACTTGGAGATGAAAGCACCGCATGTTTAAAATCATGATGTTGAGACTTATATCCAAAATTGGATGTTTATGTCATTGTTAAACAAGCCTGACTTGCAATAACTAATTATATTGGTGATCTGACTTGCCTAGTTCTCTTCTAGGCTTGTGGCATACCCTTATTTTCATAGTTGCTTCAACTTGGACGCATTTGCTTAATGCTTACGCCTTTTTTCAAGTTAACTTCTGTTCGCTGTTGCTCCATAATAGATCTTATATTGACCAGGAAAAGTACTTTTAAGTTGAATATTTTTTTAAATATCATTCCATGTCCCTTGTGGACAATTGCATCTTATATGATTGTTCTCAAGTTAATCATGTAAATAAACGTGAAAAAGTCACCAAACTCATCTTGTTGCTTGACAGCTATGGGCGTGTGAAACCAGATGTGGTTGCATATGGCCGGGAAATCATGGGATCTAAGATCAGTACAGGATGCAAGAGCCTTTCAGGTACTAGTGTGGCAAGCCCAGTGGTTGCTGGTGTTGTATGCTTGCTTGTAAGTGTTATCCCAGAAAACAAAAGGAAAGACGTACTGAATCCCGCAAGCATGAAGCAAGCTCTAGTTGAGGGTGCTTCCAGACTCTCTGGTCCCAATATGTTTGAGCAAGGTGCAGGCAGACTTGACCTGTAAGTTTCAGTTTAGAAATGTTCTTTGGAATTAATTCGTTTCAGTAAATAAACTAAACATTACAGTGTCTGGTTCTTCCAGGTGGGAGTCGTATCAAATCTTGAGCAGCTATCAACCTCGAGCGACCATTTTCCCCAGTGTCCTTGACTTTACTGATTGCCCTTACTCCTGGCCTTTTTGTCGGCAACCTCTATATGCTGGTGCCATGCCCGTTATATTCAATGCTAGTATACTAAATGGCATGGGCGTTATTGGTTATATTGAGGGCTCACCAACCTGGCATCCTTCTGATGAGGTGGGAAACCTACTGAGCCTCCATTTCACTTACTCAAATGTCATCTGGCCATGGACTGGTTTTATTGCACTTCACATGCAGATCAAGGAAGAAGGTGCCCATTTCTCTGGTATTATTGAAGGCAATGTGACAGTCACAGTGTATAGTCCATCACCTAGTGGAGAGAAAGTACTAAGGAGGAGTACTTGTCTGCTTACTTTGAAGCTGCAAGTGATCCCAACCCCTCCCAGGTCGAAAAGAATTATCTGGGACCAATACCATAATATAAAATACCCACCTGGCTATATTCCAAGAGATTCATTGGATGTTCGCAATGATATTCTTGATTGGCATGGTGATCATCTTCACACCAATTTCCATATTATGTACAACATGCTAAGAGATGCTGGGTACTATATCGAAACTCTTGGCTCGCCTCTCACATGCTTTGATGCTAGCCATTATGGAACCTTACTCATGGTGGATCTTGAAGATGAGTATTTCAGAGAAGAAATTGAGAAGCTACGAAATGATGTCCTTAATGAAGGGTTGGGACTTGCTGTATTTGCTGAGTGGTACAATGTGGATTCGATGGTTAAGATGAGATTTTTTGATGATAACACCCGGAGTTGGTGGACGCCAGTCACTGGAGGTGCAAATATACCTGCGCTTAATGAGCTTTTGGCCCCACTGGGAATTGCTTTTGGGGATAAAATCCTAACTGGGGAATTTTCTATCAACGGGGAGCAGAGTCACTATGCATCTGGCACTGATATAGTAAAATTTCCTAGAGGTGGATATCTGCATAGTTTTGAATTTCAGGACAATTCTGAAAGTGGTGCTACCCAGAATGTACTGCAGACTTCTGGAATGGCACAGGTTAGCTGGTTAGGCACATCATTATTTTATTTTGCTTCTGCATTATATATGCTACTGAGGTTCTATCACAAAGACTTGATTAAAAATCGTGTAAAACTGGCAGGATTGTTCATCCAACATGGCATGTTGAAATTAATTGATTTTACTGGTTAGGCGTGAATTTATTCAAAATCGTTTCTACAGTTTCGTTAGTCAGGATGCAGCTACCTGGAGGTTTGATTCAAAATCTTGTAGGGAACTGGAAAATCGTTAAGTCAAATTGAATAATTTATATTAATGGAAATTAATATGATTTTAAAATCTCATATAAACAGAAACTCAACGGTTACACTGGTTTCTTGCTTTTATCATTTATTCATTAAGTATGTCATTTTAGATAACGAGTTGTTTGGTGTCGTTAGTTATATATAAATTTAAGATTTGAATTATTGATCTTACTGGTAATATCCTGAATCACTAGTGGGCTAAAATTTACTGGATTAATGATGATCAGTCTGCACTTGATTCATGATAGGAATTTTCTGTTTGTACTAGGCAATAGCCGATGGTGAGTTCTTGAGGCTTTGAAATGAAAGTACGTTGGGTATGGTGTTTATGGGGATAATAGAAACTGATGACTTCATACTTTTTCATGCACCCAGTATATTTCCCATTTTCGTTTTATTGAGTACTGTATTAAATGCAGGTCGAATCCTCAATTCTTGGTCTTGCTGAGATTGCTGGGGGACGAGTTGCAGTTTATGGAGACTCGAATTGTCTTGATAGTAGTCACATGGTGACCAACTGCTATTGGCTTCTGAAGAAGATATTAGATTTTACAAATAATAACATTAGAGATCCAGTGCTTTTCTCAGACTCTGCTAAGCTCAAGTCTCCTTTGAATGGCCCTGACAGCCACTTACCATCTCGGAGAAGTGATATAAACTTCTCTTCCTATTCTGCTGTAGTCGGCAAGGAGTTGATATGTCAACGTGACTCAAGATTTGAGGTTTGGGGCACAAAAGGTTATGGTATTCAGCTGATGGGTAGAAATAGGAAATTGCCAGGATATCCAACTATTCGACTGGACAGTGACTTGAACATTTCAGTAAAAGCATCCAGTGAAACGTCAAAGAAGAAGCAAGGATACTTATCTGGAGCGGTCAATAGAAACAAGTTCAGAAAGAATATGGACTTTTTGAGTTTATTAAACCATGACGAGGTACATATATTACATCTTAGAAGTTCATACACACACACATGCATATATACACGCACAAGAGACATAATGCTACAAGTCAACTCTATCAGGCTTTAAAGCCTTTGATTCAGAGTTGTGATCTCTTTGGTTATCTCTAGAACTAAATCCATATTTTACCAAGAATATTTTCTAGTTGAATGGAAGGCATTTATATATTTATCAATGGATTGCTATTATCTGAGAACTTTTTGTAAAGCACACTTGTTAGTCAAGAGAACAGCTGGTGAGTTCTTGAAGAAGGCTTAGATTCCAAAAGAAAAAAAGGGCCTATGGAAGAACTCAGAATATTGATTTCTTCAGTGGCTTCCTTTAGGAAACTGTTGAATATGGCACTTGCCTGTGTCATCTAATTACTTATACTACTATATTAAAAACTTAGTGAGGGTAGGAAAAGTTGAAATGTCCTTCCCACTAAAGAGATGAGGACAATTTGGTCATTTCACCCACATTTTTTTCTTTTCTTTTCTTTCCCCTTTCTTTAGTTCTTATCTTTCTAAAGCATATAATAGAGCTTACCAATTAAGAATTTATTACATTGTATATTATAAAAAGATATAAATATGAAATGACAAAGTTCTTTTCCATGTAAATATATATAATAAAAATGTCTATGATACACAGGGTATTGAAAATGATATTTTTATATAAAAATTAGAATAATTAAGTTTTAATGTCGGTTGCTCGTGCAATAATGCTAGTGTCTCATTAAGTACTATGAGGGATGTTCTTGGCCTTGGGGTGCAGGTAGTCCTGCTGCAGCTCTCTGAAGCTGTGAAGCTATAGTAATGCAAGAGAGTGAAATATTTTCTTGAGAGAAGCAAGAGTAAAATATGCATGAGAACAAAAGCTTGAAGTAATTAGTTATCTTTGTCATAATATCTTCTTTGGTGCTATACTTCTTTGCCTAGAAAAACATAACTACTTCTTTGGCTACATCATTTAATTAATTTGATGCATCATAACATTATCATGGTTCTCATGATAACCAAGTGTTTACTATGTGCAGAATGACATTCCCTTTTTGGCAGCAACTCAATGGATTGTTCCAGCTTTGGTTGCTGTCATATGTAAGCAAAATCTAGCGCTTTCTGCAATTCTTTACTCATCCTGCAGTTTGTTTATGGAGCTTGAGTTCATCATCTTCCTGTGCATAAATCCTCAGGTGTTTTGCTGCTCTTGACCTGGCGAATGCGGCAGAAAAAGAGGCGGCGAAGAAAAGGGTCATTATCAAATCGTGCAATAAACTTAGTGTAGTTCTCAAACTTAGATTTAGGCACGTCTCTTTTCTTTTTTTCTTTTTATTGAATTGTCTATATGA